AGTTATGGAAAAATGGGTTGAAGTAGTGAGAAATGATTTCAGCAAACCATCTACAGCACTGGTAAGAAGTGATCTGTCGTAAGTTGAAGGGTCTTGAAGAGATGGGAAATGATGAGAAATCATTTGAGGGCTGATAATTTGACAATCAATATGGCACTGCACATAGCAAAATGGCAGAACTAGATTCATGCATCCAACCCCATATAGTTGGGACATGGCTTTGTTGAGTTGAGTTGAATATTGCAAAAATAAGTGGTCTAGTAAGGAAATACTATCTTCAATTATTTTAATCATTTTTATGTTGTTCAGATTACTTTCTAGTTCTCAATGACCATTAGCCTCTCATAAATTGTTTTGAAGCAACTGAACTACCATTAAAATTCTAAAAACACAGGACCATCCCCCTGATCTCTAAAACCCAATTTTATTCGGAATTGTCATGATTTACAATTCCAAAACCATCTTACTGTACTTTCCCCCCATTTGCCACTCATTGAACCTATCCCTAGGTTCTCAAGAATGATCCATTTCTGATTCCATCTTTTTTATTTTACCATTCACCCATCTCGATATCCTCATTTTTTTGGTAGTAACAACATCATTCCTGCTATTTTTATGATCATCAAGAAAAGGCAAATAACAAATAAAAACCACTCAGTCTAGATGGAATGGTGATTTCTTTTTTTATATAACCTATTCTTGATGTCCCTATGTCATGGTAAACACTATGGCCAGGTTCATTTTTGGGCAAGTCATTTACCCAGGTAAATGCACTCACCTAGGTAAGTGTTTCCCAAGTAACTTTTTGCTTTACCAATTTCACCCTTATTTGTTTTAAAAACCTGTTTAATGGGCAATTTTTTTCTAGTTTTAGCATACTTCCTCCCAAGGTGGGAAAATTGCTTACCCGTCTGGGAGATAAGTATCACTTACCAAGGGAAACTTCATTTACTGTGGGACCCACCTTTACCATGGAGCGAGCGTGTGAAAGTTGGTCAACTTTCCCATTGCCCAACTCCCCCCTCCATTTACCGAAAAATGAATGAACCCTATATTTGGTTGTGAAGAAAAATGGAATAAAAAAAATTGAAAGAAAGTGGCTTTGTTTAGTCTGGTTGACAAGGGAAAACAAAATTCCAGCAAGGTGGGCTTAGCATTCTAACACGTCAAACATAATTACTACTTGAATCTTTAAAATTTCCAATTAAAATGATAGACTTAATTTTTTTAGTAATGTGAAAAGAGAATTAGAGATAGCAAAGCCATGCAGTTTTATAAATGCAGTAAGGCAATGACTAGTTGTTTTGGCCTCTCTAGTTGATGCAATGCTTAAGTGGTGCCTAGGTGCTGACTAGTCAGTGAAAAATAGACATATTCTAAAAAGGCGTGGGAGGCATATGCCTAGAGGCACCCCTCTAGGTGAGGCACCCTCAAAACACTCTGAGGTTGGTTAGATTCCTAGATAATACTACAATCCAAACACCATGCTGACATACATGAGAGAATTGCAACTAGGAAAGCTTTTGATACTTTTATATTCTAGGACCTCAGATTAACAGGAAAATGATACATGGAGCCATTAAATATAACACAAAATCAACAGACAATGAGCTCCAACTATTATTACACAAAGGAGGTCAACAGTAAATTAGTAATAAACTAAATAGAGTTTGTAAAGAAAATAGAAAAACATATTACAGTTTTTCCAGATTTGTCAATTCCGAGAATAAGAACATGAAACTCCGTTTTACTGAAAATATACTTCCAGAGTCCATAAAACAATGAAAACATCTCTTTCACTTCCTTTTTTCTTTTTACTTTTTATTATCTGCTCCAATGAGGACTTCAAGGTTTAACATTCGTAGACTTTATTGCAACCAGAACATCGCTAGTTTTCATCATCTCAAAGTCCTGGACACATAAAGCGAATGGTCAAGTTTTGCAACAAGGAAAAGAGAAGGCCAAAGAAAAACAGAAGAAACCAACTCTAAATGCAATTCTGAAGGCAAATGGGTCACGATCGACTTACTATTTTGTCTGCACATGCTTTCAATTGCATATCAAATGGAAACTAGAGAAATAAAGTTATGTCCTAGCCAAATTGGTAAAGATAGTGAAGGTTGATCTGAACTTTTGCATCCTCAAAAGCATTGTGGAGCTTGGTTTTCCACTATACCCTTGTGCTTCTTTTTTAGCTCACTACTAGTTTTAGACTCATTCGGATTCAATTGCTTCCTCGCTAATTAGATTAGATGATAGTTACTTTCTATTCTTTTTTCTTTCTTTTTTTTTTTTTCTTGTTCAGAAGATTGCTACTTCCTCCTATTCGAGAGCTTATGGTTTCATGGTACTTAATTTATTGCCATTAACATTGCTAATAACTGAAATCTGAAACTGAATCTCAAAACAAGAAATAACATGCAACCATAATCCGCACTCCACCAAGAAAGATAAGACTGACACAAAGAAAATAAAAATCACGAATATTCACATAGACAAAAATGGACAAATGAGAAATATGACAAGACCTCTAACAATTCACAACAAGTCGAATCAAGAAAATCACTGTCTAAATTCCAATTAAAGGAAACAACCAACCATTCCAGCAAAAGAGGTAAACAGCAATAAAAGGAAAAACAATCGATTTAAATATTCGAAATTCATGAACCATAATAATAGAAAACCAAAAAATTAAAAAAAAAAAGAGTCGAAAGAAGATTAACAAAGAGGTAATACAGATACAGGAGACTGATCGTTAATTGAAAGTTCGAAATATTAGAAGAGACACAGATCCATACCTCGAAAGGAATAACGGGTTCATGAGATGTTGAGAAATTTCAGAAGCCTCTTCCTTTTACTGGCTTCTGGACTACAAATCCTTCAATGTTCTATTTCCCTCGTGTCAAATTTATCATGCCGAAAGTATCCCTCCTCTCGATTGAATTTCACAACCTCATCCATGCTCATCTAATCACTCATCAGTTATCATGGACAGACCTGACATTATATAGCAAGAAGGGTATTTTAGGAAATAAGAAGTACGGCCGTTGAAGCAGAGAAGGGCAAATTTTTGGGTTGATACGTCATCCTTCATTATCATTCTCTTTCCATTTGAAGAATCCGCTGGGCGCTGGCTATTTCTTTCCAATTCCTCCTCCAGATTTCTCCCTCTCTGTCTCAAGGTATGTTTTTTCGCGCTCTGTTTCTCTGAAGGTTGTAGATTTTACTTCATGGGTTTTAGATTTCACTTTCCACGTTCTTGGCTTTGAAGGTTGTAATTGATGTYTGTATACGACTTSACCAAATAYATAATCTGTTGAACTGGGTTACAGATTGTTGTTCATGAATTCTAAATTTGTTTTAATGGATTTTCTACCCATACGTATGGTTTCTGAGAACAAAGAAGTAATCCATGAAAAGTATTGATTTTTTCTGGGATTTTGGATGCATATTATTTCTTTTCAATGGAATCGGATATTAGCAGTTCTGGAAAAGGTAGGGTTTCTTCTGACGCTGCTTTGGTTGTGTTTCTTTTCTGGAATTTTAGACGCCTTTTGTGAGGTATATGGTGCTGTAAATAAGATGTTTACGTCTAATATTGCTGTATTTCGAATTTTATGCCGTATTTCTCAGGAGAAGCAAGTATTCTTATCCATTATTTTTAGCCTTGTTTAAGAATCTCCATGTGTTATGTTTCCTCACTGCCGTTCGGGTTTTCTCCTTTTAGGTTCCGAATAAAACGCCAAACAGTTTTCATTTTTCATTTCGAATTCGCAAAGTTGCAGTTATCATTTTTTCCTCCTTATTGCTTTGAGTTGTTTCCTCGGGAAATTTTTGCAGGCTATTGATATTAACGTGGCTTTTTCTTAGATCAGATTCCCCCTCCAAACTTCGTTATTTAACTTATTCCTATTTAAGTATACTGTTCTGTCTGCAGCGTTGTGAAAGTTGGAGTTTGGTTGTTTCAGTTTTTCCACCCGATACACTATCTCTGTTTTTATTTATTTATTTATTTTTATTTTTTGGTGGCAGAGTTTGCAAATCCATCCTTATCTTTTAATAAATTTGCATATTTTCCCTTTTGTTTTCCATTTTGCTTCGATGGTAAATGTTTTATGGATCTATTGCATCCATTGCCTCTACCATTAAAAGCAGATCAAATTATCAAAATCGGAACTTCAAATTATCAAGTGACACAACTGCCTTTAGGTCACCCAATATTTAATAAGGAATAAAATGTATCCTATTTCAATTTTTTCTTTATTAACTTAGATCTCTCTGTATTTGATCATTTCATTTTACTCTCTTACTAAACTTATTTCTCTCGACTGAAGGGCCATTAATTTTGAAGTGGCATCATCCCAGAGAGCAATGTCCTAAGTCCTAACATCCTTTTTTTAGCTCTAAAGCCAGCATTGACACCGACTCCAAATTTTAATGGATTATTCTTCTCTTGTTGCCATAACAGTTTGAGTAGAAGCTGATCTCTTTAGAAATCTGAGTTCTTCCTGTCCATTGCTGAGTGTTCTTGGTTGCAGGCACTTTCCCACATCCATTGACATAAAGTGCTTTTTTGGGAGGGCTTTCACACAGTGGCTTCTGGCTTTGCAAGGTGGGCTTCAGACAGAAAGCCTAGAATCTATGTTTGGTGAGAAACCCAGAAAGCACCCATATGCTTTCATTCAGCCAAGAAAACGGTTTTCCGGTGAAAGCAATCAAAGATGAAGCCCTCCCTAACAGGCCCGTGCAGCTCCTCCAATGCAGCAGCTTTGGAGTGAAGACTAGCTCTTAGATCAAAACGTTCATGATCATTTCTTGATTCAGGATTCTGATTTAATGTCTATGCTTCATAGCATACTGGACTTTCTTGGCCACATTATCTTCTGCATCCTTGTTTGTAACGAGAATTGGGATGTGCTCAATTGGTTCTATGTGTAAAGCAGAAATGACCTATATGTACAGCTAGGACTTTTCTGGTAATGGCTGCCTCTCCTATTTCAACTTGACAATGTGCTAGTCAGTCATCTGCATTAGATCTGTAATTGAGTTGGACTCAGATTGGATCTAACCACATCTGAGTCCAATCTGAAATCCAACAGGTATGCAGATGAGAAGGATTGTGTACTATCCATGAAACCAACAAGGAGTTCAGAACCCTTTAAGATGGATAACATATGTATCAACATTCAGCAAAATAAGAACACTAATAATTTTAGTCAATAAATAGGGCATTAGCAGAACATACGTAAAATAAAAAGGAAAAATAAGATGATATTTACTTCTTCAGTAAGAGAAATAAATAGGACATTGGCACCCCAAAACCAATTATAATCCATTAGTTTATCTGAAAAAAGAAAAGGAAAAGGTAATCAGGAGAAATCCAGGTGCATCAAGATTCAAGAAGAAACATTAACATCCGAAGCAGGTCAGACATGAAATTTAGTGGGAAATAAAAGAAAGATGCCACTAATTTCTTTTAATATTTTTTGCCTATTGATGTCCATCTTGTACATTATATTACAATTTGTACGACCTATGCTATTGAAAAGAGTTTTCTTACTTTAGCATTTGGCTCTTTTATTCCTTTGTTTTCACTATTTTGCAGATCCAGCAGAAAGGTGCCTCTAAAACTCCTTGAAGTGATGTGGAGCTTACTAGAAAGTTTTTTGCATTAGTTCTAATTCTAAAAACCTATAAGAACTTTATTAAATTTATTTGTAACCAAGCCATAGATGTTTCTTCATAAGCACTTAATGACCAAAATCTGTCAAATCAAAAGCTTGTTCTACATTTGAAACTGAGCTTTGGAGTCACTACTTTTGGCATATAATGTCTTATCTTAATTATTTGGGGTGTACATTCTGGTTAAATGTTTCTCATTATTTGAGGAATTATGCTAAACTTTTGGATCTTTTGTCTTTTTTTGCGTTCTTTCCTTATGTTTGAATCCTACTGCTTTCAAGTTTCCTATACGTATTTAGACAACACTTAATAACTTCATTTAAACATTCTTTTGTTCATTTAGACATCTTTTTCCATTATGGTTTTGTTACTTTTGCTTTTTCATCATTGCAAGGGTCTCAATTTTTCTAATTTTAGAAGGAATAGTTTACTATATGGGGAAATGCATTCTATTCAATCTTTACTGTCACTGGATCCTACAGCAAAGGGGGTTTTCTGAGAATGGTGCATTGTCATGCTTATAGAGATAGTTAATCTTATAAGAGACCCTCTAAATTAGTCACCTGTTGGTGTCTTCATCAGTTTTACCCTCGTACCCACTTTGTGTTGCATTTACTCCCCTTTATTTATTCTTTGAGTTGAGATAAGTGAGGGATAAATATTGTCTTTTCCCATGTGCAAGGGATGTTTGGATAAAATTTGTCAAATATAAAGAAGGCAATGGAGAATCACACGAATGACTTTGGTCTGCCATAATAGCTGCAAAATGTAGTAAACTTGTCTTATTAGCATCTGGATTGTATTTAGCAAACAGAAAACCTTGCTATATATTATAGTCTTTTTTTTTAAATGTCAGGAAAAGAGAAACTGACATACTGATCTTTTTTCTGTAATACTAGGTCTTCAGCTATTGCTTAGGATTGCTGTGTCAGTTAAGCATATTGGTGTTCAAAAGAAATGAGGTAACTTGCACAGTCTAATCTAAAGGTTTGGATCTTTAAAATTCTTATGACCTTGGAGTATGAATTATTGTGCAAGATCTATACATAGGTAACTTGGACCTGCATGCCATCCTTTGTAAGTGTCATCAATGAAAATCATATTCTTACCAAGTTCATGAATAAATACTATTAATGACTATTTAAAAGGTCAGGCTTTTCTATTTCTCCTGTGAAATGGTTGTAATAGTTGCTATCATGGTGGTCAAGTTTTCAATATTTCATTGCAAGTGTTAGTGAATTGAGAGGATATTTCACTTCTGAATGATTTAAAGGGAATATAAGTTTGGTTGTTTGGAAAAAAAAAAAAAAAGTCAAAAACAGCTTGGGCTGTTTTGAAGAAGCTTCATGTGCATAACATGTTAACATGGGTGTGGGCTAAAAGAGTAATTGCATTCAATATTTCTTTTAATTAAAAAGACAAATAAAGAATTAAGTGGGATAACATGTCATTTGCAATTCATCACAAATAAAAATGCCATTTTCAGAAATCTTCAAAACAGCCCAGGCTATTTTTCCCCTACACCCAAGCTTTTCTTGATTTAAAAGTTCATACTTGATAGTGCCTTAAGTCTACTGTCCAGACATTTTTTTTTGCTTGAATATCCATAATATTGCGAGATTTGTATTTTAGTTTTCTAACCACCTCTTATCTTTTGTATCTCTGAATCAGTTAAGGAATAATACATTCTTTCTTTTTTCTTATATTTGTTGGTGGATCAGAGGACGTGTAAGATGGGATGAGACTAACTTGTATGAAATTGAAGCAAACAAACCTGTAAGGCAGAAAATCACCGAGCCCAAGACTCCATACCACCATATGATTGATGAAGATGGTGTGTGTCCACTGAGTTACTCTATGTCATGAATATTATATTGGATGGTGTTGGTCAGTATTAATTTGATAGTGTCTTCTCATGTAGGTTCCCTATCTCCTGTAGAGAGGTGTTTTGATGAATGCATTGGTGATGCTATGCATGCTGAAGCTATTCGAACTGCTTTGAATGATGTAGCTTCCTCGAGTAGAAATAATTCAAAGCATTCAGGGGGTTGGACATCCTCTGAGGATGAGGCAGATGCCATGGAACAAGATGAAGGTTCTTAACTTTGCCAAGCATTTTCAACTTTATGAATTAGCTAGATGTTTACCCCATTTCTGGTCTCATCTACCTTTCTTTTACCTTGTCATGATAGATTCTTGTGTTTGACTTGTTCTTCACCTCTTAAACAATTCTATTTCACCAAGCAGATTGTTCAATGGTTTTAACAGCCATGATTTGTGTCCTTTACCATAAGCTTATATTGTGTTCATGTTATCCTCTGAATTAAGTTTCTTACTCAGTTATTTTGACTACTTTTTTTTTTTTGGTAAAGATGTAGCATGGACATGCTTTTAATGATAATCTGTTCTGTGTCTTGGTTTCAATGTTCTCAAAGAAAATCAAGCAGATGCCTCTTTTACTGATCTATACTTGGTTTTTTATTTGAATAGGAGTTCAGTAGAAGCCAGAGTTAATTGTTTCTAAACAGCAGTTTGTGGTTTTTAACCCTCTTGTTTGCTTGTTTGGACCTTCTCTCAGATTCTGAAACTGATAAGAGCGCTTTGAGCTTTAGGGAACACAGGAGAGCACATTATGACGAGTATCGGAAGGTGAAAGCACTCCAACAGAAGGGATCTTTAAGTGATGAAGCTGATGAGGATGATGACAAGGTGGTAGAAGAGAGCTGCAGTGGTGTGAGAGATATAGAAATTGAGGATGGTGATGTGAGAGAAATAGAGATTGAAGGTAATAAGACTTCACCAGAAAAAGCATTTCCACAACCTCAAGTTACTGGAGCTTAGAGGCTAAAAAGCAAAGCCGGCATAAAACAATTTACTACCCCTAATTTCTTTTAACCTTCAAATATCCCTTCAGAAAAAAGGAATGTTTTTTGCCAAACACGATTGCTTTTGTTGCTCCATTTCTTGAAGTAGTTTTTGTGCATGTGTCGTCACCCTCCTGTATGTATACATAGTTTTTTCTTTATGACATGTTTGTGAGCCTATCCTTTTTATTTTTGGTGCTGTTACAATTCTGTCCAACAAAAGCCAAATGGGAAGTCAATTTATCCATTTGTTTTGGTGATGATCAAGGTCAAAAGTATTAATATCATATAGGATTTTCAAGGGATCTGTGGCGGAGAAGCACAGGTGGAAAACTACCTGTCCAATTCCTCCCGTCACGATATTCATTCCATGAAGAAAAACTGTATACGCATACAAACTGGTATTAGAAATGCCATATTTTATGTTAGGGTTCGACTATGATATGGAAAAAATATGATATCCAATAAGACAAGTAACCAATAAACTGGAATCATACACATTATAGAAAATCAGGTGTTATTCATCAAAATTCGTGGGTTTTGATTGGTCAAAACTCTTTCCATATCATATACCTATTGTACTATCAAATAAACCTTTTACTGCCCACATTCAGTCCACCCCTAAGAAATCCTACCTCCACAGGGGCGGACTGAATCCTACTCTTGGATTGATGCTAAATTCAGGGGCAGAATGTGGTTTATAGGGGGCTACTAATAGATTAGGAAGGGGCCTCAAAAAAGATTTTTGAGGGGAGTGCAATCCAAAAATCTTTTTTTTATTTACATTTAATTAATATTTAGTCTCGTCAATTAGAAGCCAACAGAAAAAAAAAAAAAAAAAATCAGTCTCATCAATCAGGTCTGTATTTTCAATTCGTTGCACTTAATTAATGCTGAAGTAATTACAACACACCATTGGATGCTCTTGGATGGATCGCTCTTGACTTGGGGGCGTTTAATAACGCCAAATCAGCTACATTGGATGCTCTTGGATGGATCGCTCTTGACTTGGCGTTTAATAACGCCAAATCAGCTAATGACCCTTGAAAAACTTTCCTTTTCAGATGCAATTGGTCGTTTGGTATTAATTCTTTTTTTTTTAACCATAAAATTACCCTTAAGAGTGTTTTTTTTTTTTTTCTTTGGATTTTAAGAGGGCAAAAGTTGGTCAATGGGACTTTGGTTTTCATTTACTATAAATTTTATGTTATTTTTTTATATTAATGCGAGGATCAGGGAAAGTTTATTTTCCTGGATATCATTTACCCAGATAAGTGATACCCATCTTTTAGGTGAATAAATAACTTTCCCACCTTAGAGAAAAATTGTCAACACTTGAATGAAACAAAAATTCTCCTTTTTAATAATGAATTTTTATGGTTAAAATGGTCATTGTCTTATTTACTTTGGAAATAAAAGAACATAGGTATAAGTGCTTTCTAGGAAAAAACTTATCCAAATAATTGCATTTACCCAGATAAATAACTTATTGAAAAACAAACAGGGCTTTGGAGGAGGGTGGTCACCAAATTTTATTAGTAATATAAAAATTAATAAAATATTTAAACTATCCCATATATTTTAGCAAATGACTAAAACTTGCCCTACTGTTTTAAAAATCACTTATGTTTTTAAGTTTTTTGACAATTAATAGTCGATAGCATCCGTAAATGGAAAGTTCAGGCGCAACTTCTGTATATGCATATTGTCATGGAGGAGATGTTTTCAATACACAAGGGATCGACAAATGCAACATAGATGTTTCCAATACACAAGGAATCAACAAATACAACATACACCCAGCTCATAATTTAGTCTGGATGACCTGTGTGGGAATCCCATGTCCATCGGCTCTAATGAGATATTGGAGTTGTGTGGGAATTCATATATAGTCCGCCAGTGTTTAAATAAAATGCCTACAGCCTACATTTTATTTAGTGGTATAGAAGAGTAATAGTCATGCCTGAAACTTCAACAAGAGCTGGTATCATTATCATCTTTAGAAAAGGGAGGGAAATAACAACCATAATATTTACTAATTAATATACGTTTTTTCAAAATTTTTGAAAGAAATACTTGGTTCAATACTTCAATCCAACTGTACCTCAAAGAAGGTCTTTTTGGTTAGCAAATCAGAAGGGATTTTAGAAAGATATGGAGAGAGATGCGCATCTAGGTCTCACTCTTACCCAATTGATAAGTAGCAGCTTGGGAAGTGAAGTTTTTTACTCTAATTCCCAAGATAAATATTTGGAAGAAATTATGAATGATTGTTTCGGAAGGAGTATGCACGCAAGCCACTGATAGGGCTGTTCATAACAAGATCCAAATCGATCAATCCGGTCTGATCCAATCTGAGTTGGCCGGTTTTTCTTTATCACCGATTGGTTTCAGGTTACAAAAAAACATAAACCGATGGTTTGGTTCGATTTTCGTTTTCACACATGAAAACCGAAACCAAACCGACCCGAACCGACTTATAAAATATCAGTTTTACCGTTTGGTTCGATTTTCTGATATATAAAATATCAGTTTTACCGTTCACACTGAAAGAATCATTCACAAAACCGATCCAAACCGATTCAAATTGACCAAGGCGGTTTTACTTAGTTTTAGGTCGGTTGAAAAAACACCAATAAACTGATCCAACCCGACCCGTGAACAGCCCTAATAGGTGGTGACCATGAATAAGGGTCTTGGTAGGACACAAAATGAGTTTTATTGGTTTTACATATTCCAAGTTGGGATCACTTTTTTTTTTAACTTAAAAAGAAAACAATAGAATTTTGAGTCTTGAAATAGAAAGTATAGAGTGTGCCATCTAATGGACACTCTAGACCAATGTTTTTAAAACTGACCCGAAAGGCAAACCATTTTTGCCTAGTGCTGTCAACGGGTCAAGTCTGGGTTGGAACCGACTCGACATGAAATATTGAGGACCCAGAACCGAACTGGACCCAATAGGGTATATAATTTTTAGACTTAGACCCGAACTGATCGGTTCTCAGGACAATCGGGTCTGACCCAACAGACCCAATTATAATATATACACATTATTTAATATATATATATTATATATTATATGTATATAGCTCGGGTCGGGCCTGAATCGGTTCGAGACTAGGTGGAACCAGTTTCGAACTGATAATAATCGGGACACTATATCAAGACCTAAAACCAACCCATCGGTTCCAAATCCTAGAACCAGAACTGGCTCAATTGGTTCGAGCCCATCTGGTCCATCGAGTCAGACCCAACCCATTGACATCTCTATTTTTGCCTCCAGATCATGGGTCACCAATTCGACCACCGGGTCAAACAGGTCAAAACATGCCACATCATCACTATAAATGTGTGCATAAACACATTTTATCAATAAATAATGCATAATTATATTCTACATGTAATATATGCATTATTTTATATTTAATGTATATTTTCAATTCAGTTTTAAATTTTTTATTTATAAAAAATATTAAAAACTGCATTTTAAGCCAAAAAAGGTTTTTTTCACAAAAATAGCAAAAAAAGCACCTTTCAACACATAGATCTCAAAAAGTTACCCAAAAAAAATATCATCACAATTGGGCATCTGATCATAAAGTTATAGCCTTCAAAAGTTCGCATACACTTTTAGTGTGTAACCCGTGATCTGGTCATTGGATCAGACAGTTTTTTACCAGGTCTACAGTTTTTGTTAATCCTTGGGTTTTAAGAAAACTGAACCCGAAATCATGGGCAGGTGACAGTTCAACCAGCTAGGTCCACAGCAGGTTGAAAACATTGCTATGGACTATACAATCATACCTCGACATGGTGAAAACGGAATAAGCCATTTAGAAAGAAAACCTGGGAAACCTACTTATATTAAAAAGAAGTTTCTTTTTTTCCTTGCAGACAAGAAATCTATACATTTTTCCCTTACAGACATGTCTTTGGAGTCTGAGAAGGAAACACTACGAAATCCTCTTTCAAAGTTTCAAATACAGAACAGTAGTACAGTACAAAGGAATGCACAAGTTGAGAGAACGCAGCCTAAAAGGATCAAATTTAAAAGCCCCCTACGGTGTTGATCCTTCTAGGATAATAGCATCATCCCTAGCTACTGATTTACATATTTAACCATCGTAGAAAACTCAGCTCACTGAAGGCCTAGAGTAAATTCATCATTTATTTTAAACCTGCAGTATGGGGCATGACCCCTTTCCTTTAAACTGTTCCACAATCCACAATAACAATTGCTTCCACACATTTCATCAAGACAAAATACCCGAACAACCACAAACTTAAAAATTACAAGCGTAAACAGAAAAGGAAGATCTAGTAGCTAATTAAAGCGCTCACCACTTTGCACACATCATTCTAACAATAGTCCAGTTTGAGAAATAACAGTGGACACCATGACAAAAAAGCCTCTCCCCACAATTCAAGCATCAACAACCGGATAAAGATATGTATGTTCCTAACAACTTTCCAATAGCAGCCACATGAGACTCCGGATCTACTATAAACAAGGTATGTACAACAGCCACTGAAGTGTTTACCTCTGATTTGTATGCATCTTGTTTATAGTAGATCCCAACCCCCACATAAAAAGAGATTTAACTAGCAAATATCAGGGAAGCAATGGGTCTATCATATCATAATACTGCATTGAAGAAGAATAGAAATCTTTTAACTACATAAAATCTATTTCAACTTGTAAACTAATCCTGTTAACAAAACTGTCTTAGGTTCAAGATCAAGAGAAACAAGTGTTCAGTTGCCTTCATATTTTGGATCAGCCATCACATAATGGTAAGCAATTACCAGGACAAATATAAAAATGCCAAGAAAACTGGCAAAGAATCCCAAATCTTGGTCATCAAACATCTGAAAAAAAAACAGAGACAACCAACAAGGCAAACTATTAGCAGTGATTCAGAATTAGTATTTTCAATTTAACAGGGTTAATGGTAAATAGGTTAAGAAATAATGTTGAAAAATTGTTAGTGCAAAAACAAGGCCACCAAAACATTATGTCAAAGAAGAATGCATAACTTATGAACCTTAGTGCCTCAATCCATGCAGGTAGGGTTACATACCATGCAGAAGTGACTGGCAACTTAAAATTTTTGTCAAATCAAATTCTACAAAAATAAGAGAGAATGGCTTAGGTAATTGTTACATGCATTTTTAAACAGACTTTAAAAATAAATTTTGAAAAGAGGGAGGACGACTACTTCAAGAATCACCCTTACAAGATACATATAGAGTCTAACTAGGAAGCATAACCAACTAAAGCTAGTAATTTACGAGCATAGACACACATGTAAGAGATCCACTGCCTCACCAACTTGTAACTCTACTTCACAACTAGAATAGAGATTCAGATGAAGGCATGCAACAGCAATGCTCTTACTTTGCATTTGAGAATTTGTCCTTTAATATGGACCCATGCCATCTCTTTTGATAGACTATTTCTTTCTAGGGATAGTTGTGCATGGAGCACCTCAATGCCATCCCTTCTAAATCTCCTTACATATCCACTCCCTCTAATAATTGATTGCACTTAATTTGTCCTTCCTCTCTCCTCTTTCTGACCCATATAATGCATAGTCTTAGAGTACCACAGTTCTACCAAAAAAAAGATAGACTACAATAATTAATTGATGTTTAACTTTTTATTTTCCAAAATGAGTAAAATCCTATATAAGTTATATTTCAGACACAAGACTGCCATTATTATCAAGAATGTTTGCACACACATTGAGCAGAAGCTGTGGAATCATTCTGTAGTCCCTTTCTATGCACCAATTACTTGGTTCTGAACTCCTATAGGAAACTGGAACCCGATATGCACCGGGGGGGGGGGGCTTAGGGCTTTACACAACTACTTTAGGACATCTATGTCGTTCATATCTGTATAAGTATGGTACATTTATTATGTATTTTTACAAAAAGAAAAAGTAGTAGCTAGACAAACAAAGTTCCCCTATTATGTCTTCTGATTCAGTTATTCTATGTTGTATTTCATGACCTTGGTCTAACTACAAAATATAGATTTAAACCGTTGAATATATATGATCTGAAAAGAAAATGATATTTAACTAGCCGATAATAAATCTATCAAATCAATAGCAGCCAAATCTCTTTTTTTTTCACCATAGGAGACAACAAATAGGTAGCAGTCTACCATTAAAGCATATAAGTTGTCCCAAACAGAGGATGGCCGAATAGATTACCCAGAGATGAAGTACAAGGATAAAACACTGTCGGTGATGATGAAATATGCCCTTTGATCCCCTATCACCAATCATGGTAAACTCTTTTCACAAAGAATTGCTTAAAATCAAACTAATTTGTTGACAAGTCCTGCATTGACAACTTTATCTGACTATCTTATTCTTACCATCCGCAAACAACTGATGACACAAGGAGACAGGATATTTCCATGTTTTAATTATAGCTCTCTTACAGCCTTGCAGCCTTCCTTCTCCTTTACTTCCATGAGACATTCTGACATTCACTACATTGAATGCAATTGAACTGAAATTTGGAGTCTATACTCCAAACCAGCATGATTATGTTTCAAGAAAGTATCAAACCACTGGATATGGAAAAATGCATATTGTTTCTTGTGGAAACTTAGCCCCATATTTAACCTAACTTTCTCCTTATCTTTGCAAATCTAACGTTTCAATTTGAATATCCTTCTTATCGTTTGTAGTTTAAATATCTTGGCCATCGACAATCTGAAAACCCTAAGGAGAAGTCTGTGATCTCTTACTGCAAATATAAGACCTTAGTACCTCCGATGTAAAGAAGAAAAAACACAAACGAATGATGGATCTGGAACCCCCAAATTTAGCATTAATATTCGCAACCCATAAGTCTGAAACAAAAAAAAAAAAAAATCGATTCCCCTAATCTGGATGTTATAATATAAGCATTAAAAAAGGACAAAAAAGTGGAAAAGAAATATATTTTGAACAGACAAGAATTAGAATTTGAATCAGAACATTGGTATCAAGTTTTTATAAACAAAATTAAAGGAAAAAAGAAGAAAAAAAACAATACCAACAAGGACAGAAAAGGTGATAGAGACTGATCAAAGCAAACTTACGGTGACAATGGCAGGTCTGTGATCCGAGATCGTTCTCGCGCCCAAGAACACGCAGATTTCTCTCCCCGCGGACACTCGAGAAGCTGAAGTTCTATACTTCTATTCTATGCACGCTGACTGAGAAATAACCAATCAGGGTTGTTTTAGTAATAACACACACTCCTAAACAGCTAAACTAAAGCTGACCACAATTCGGATCCAGTAAAGTTGCAAAAGTCGGATTAAGTTCAATCCGATTAAAAGGTCTAGATTCTAAAACAGTAGAACTTGGTCCTTGTAAAATTTTAGTAAACTGGGTCTAACCCGCTTCTAATTCGATTCGAGTTCAAAAATAAACGGACTGTAATCAGATCATATTAAAATCTTCAGTCGCATTGGAGTTCAATCTATAACAAAACTCTCGCCCAATACAAAATCCAAACCTTACGTGGACAAATGGACAATCAGAACCAATCAAGATATTGGAACGCTTGGACAGGAATTCACATCAGTGTCCCACAACGCCTCACAGCACATCCCAACCGTGTATTGAAAACATCTCCTGATGAGTTTTTATTATTTTCCGTATTTGTGATAAAATGTTTCTAATACATAGTTGGAATGTAATGTGGGGCGGTGGAGTGTTGATGTGAACTCCTTGCACAAAGCCCTACCTACTCTCAATTGGATGCAGATTTTTCCTCATTCTGCATTATACTACATTGGACCATGGACCTATTAAAATAAAGGGAAAATGACTATTCAACCTACAGGGTTCAACAAGCAATCCATATTTCACGATCAAAGGTGTAGTACTGCTTGTAGTAGCCGTCCTTATATATCGTATTAATAATCGAAAAAAAAAATCTCTATTTGATGGGGCTTCTTCCTATACTTATGAATTCCATTGGACCCATAAATGATACATTGAAAGAATCTTTTGGGTCTTCCAATATTAATAGGTTGATTGTTTCGCTCTTGTATCTTCCAAAAGGGAACAAGATCTCTGAGAATTGTTTCATGGATCCGAAAGAAAATACTTGGGTTCTTCCAATAATTCTTAACCCCACTGTACAGGTTGGATGATCCTAAAATACTCATCTGCAATCTCAGCACCTAAAGTCACCATTCCACCACCTTCCTTTCTAGACGGAGCATCCAGAATACAAACACTTAATCATGTATTCAAGGCAGCCCATGGTTCCAAGTTACCACACAAAGCTCAAACAGTGCAAACAACTTCTGAGAAATGGAACAAAAGTTGCTTTGGTAACATCCAAAATCATCTTTAGCAACTGTCTCAAAGGATATCTTCACTCCAGATGAATGGCAATTCAAGGCCCAATGAAATAGAGTTAAAAAATCTCCATAAACAACACCATTATTGGCTCCAGAAGGAAGAACAACTTCTGAGGATGAAGTCTAGAGAACTTTGGCTACAAGATGGTGACAAAAACACCAAGTTCTTTTCACTATGTGATCAAACAAAAAAACTCTCAAGAATTTTGGATCAAAGATTCTAATGGTGAATGGACCACCGACAGATTGGAAGTGGCTAAAGCTTTCCATGCATGCATCTATTTGGAACATAAGCAGGGAGATAGAACTTTTTAATCCTTTGGACATGGCAACGATGACATTTCCTCAACTACAAGAATGGCAAATCAATACACTCTTAGTACCGCCAACAATTGAAGAGCTTAGGGCTATCATAAAACTGATGAATCCTCACAAAGCACCAGGACCTGATGGCTTTACGACCTGTTTTTTCCAATTCCACCGGTCCACTATTGAGAAAGATATATTTGAAATGCTTCTAGACTTCTTCACAAAGCAACTTCCCAAGACAATAAACAACACAAACTTGATATTCATACCAAAAACAACTCACTAGTGGATATCTCCAATAATCGTCCTATAAACCTCAGCAATGTGATAAACAAAATCATGTCCAAATGGCTAGTTCAGCGCATGCAACCACTTTTGCAAGAAGTGATCCCTCCTTCTCAATCTGGTTTTCTGAAGGATAGGCAAATCTCTGACAATGTGCTCATTGTCAAAGAAATAATCCATCATATCAAAGAAAAGGGAAATGTTATATAGCCATCAAATTAAACATGTCCAAAACCTTTGATAGAATGAGATGGCAATTCATTAGAGAAACACTTATCAAAATGAAGTTTCCACCCAAATGGTGTAATCTTCTTCACCAATGCATTTCTACACCGACCTATTCTATCAAACTAGGAGGGGAAGCTTATGGGCACTTTCATTTAAAAGAGGGTTAAGACAAGAAGATCCATTATCTCCATATCCTTTCATCATAAGCATGGAAGTTCTCACATAGCTTCTAAATCAAGCCTCAGTCAATGATTCCATTCATGGTGTCAAGTTAACTCAGCAAGGGCTGGAAATACAACATCTGTTTTCTGCTGATGATATTATTCTATGTAAAGCAGACATCAACCAAATTGAAGTTTTGAATAAATTAGAAGCATTATCGGGACAAAAATAAATTATGGAAAATCATCCATCATGTGTTCAGTAAAAATGTCCATAGAGCCATCAACATATACTAGAGATACATCCAAAAATAGAACTTGAAGCAAATGAAATCATATGGAAAGGTTCCAAGAAAGGAACTTTAACAGTGACCATAGTCTATCATTATCTATACTCAAGAATACCCCATCAACTTCTATGCCTCACTTTGATTGGAAGATTTTATGGAAGACAAAAATTCCCCCTAGATTTCAATTATTCACTTGGAAATTATTGTGGGATGGTATTCTCACAAAGGACAAGTGCTACAGGTGGATTAGCAAAGATGATCAAGTTTGCAATTTTTGTTATGAGGCTTTGGAAACAGTCCATCACCTCTTCTTTACCTGTCCATACACTAAAGCAGTTTAGTGTCCTGGACAGGTGGGGCTCAACACAGACATTATCTCTCTTCAGCCAATGCACAGTATTTTCACAGGTTGGATAAATGCATTAAGAGTTATCAGTAACAAAGATAACATGCTATATTTTCTACAAAGGTTGTATCCTCTTCTACATGATCTGGAAAGCTAGAACCAAGCTTATCTTTGAAAAGGTTTTTCTCTCTCCAGAGGAATTGGTTGTTAAAGCAGAAACTTATCAACCTCTCTGCATTCAGCCAACCCAAACTACTATACAAAATCATTCATTAGATATACATAGAACTAGCTACTTATATGTTGATGGCTCTTATGATCCAATGACAGGAAATGCAGGATGAACTTTTCATCCTCCAACTCAACTCAGGTCAAAACCGTGGTTGAAGGAAAGCCTTTTTGAGCAACATCAACCTATGATGCAGAAATAAGAGCTCTTAAGAAAGGTCCGGAAACCGGAAGCAGCTTCAAACAAATCGTTACCCTATCTAACTTATACAGTGACTCTACCAAGCTGATAAGTATGCTAAATAGTAGGAACTAGCCAATGGAATGGGTAGAACGACTTCACTGGAATCACATTATGGAATTGATCAGATCTTTTGGTTTCATTTCTTTTGCTTATGTACATAGATCAAGAAACCAAGCTGTTCATATTTTAGCATATACTGCATGTAAAGGCTAAATGGTCATATCCTATAATCAGGATGAAACTCCTTAGGCTGCGTTTGGAAACGATGCAAATGGAGTGTAAATCCTGTTTTAAGATAAATTTGCACTCTGGTTCACTTTTGCCTGTGTTTGGTAACATTACATTTATGCATTAGCAAATGACAGACCAATGTATATTTATATTGATAATAAGATGTAAAAGTAAATCAATAAAAAGATGTAAATTTGCATTCAAGTGGGCTTTTGATAAAAAAAAAAAGCATATGCTTTATTGGAATTCATGTTTGCATTCCTTACAGCTAAAAGTCTGTTTGGTAAGAAGGTATAAATTTGTCAGTGCAAAACTAATCCAACTTTACAATTTATATGAATAGTTTTACACTCTACAAATTTGCATTCACATTTATTTGCATCATTTCCAAACACAGCCTTATGTACAGTTTAAATGTCCTAATATCGAATGAAGCTGTTTCCTTTTTTTTTTTACTAAAAAACTACAATACCTATATATAGATTTAGGCAATTTTTATGTTACTGAAAAGGAATTCACATTCTATGGACCTGTAGGAATTGGCATTTTATGAATCCGTCGGTTCACCTTTTTACATGGACCCTCCAATCAAAAAGTGCCACATTGTTTATCAAATGGAAATGAGACTTAATACATAGTTCCCCGTCTCCTCCCCATCTTCCTCTGTATTTTGAATAGTGACTCATTTTCACAGTTTCAAGATTCAAGGTAATCCATACAGAAAAGGAACCAGAGAGGATGGAAGTTTCTAAGGGTAAGAGAAGCAAACCTTATGGCTATCTTTGGCTTGGAGGAAAAGGTAGGAAAGGGAAATTTGTACAGATTTCCCTTCCCTTTCCTACCTTTTCCTTCAAACCAAACAACAACCTATAAATTATAACAAAAGAACTTCCTTAAAGATAGAGGACTAGGTTTAGAACACCAACAACCAAAAAAAAATGATATCACATTCAAGGTGTTGGGAACTCCTAAGAAAATCCAAAAACACATATTGAATAAATTGAGCAAAGTAAAATTGGAAGGAAAGTTTTAGAAAATCAAACAAGAGAAAAAGAAAAGGCTAAAAGATAATGGGATTGTCTTACCGAAGAAATTATGCATGTTAGAGAATACATGGTGTTTGGGAGATTGAGTGAATTTGGGTGTAGCAAACATTATACTGACCTAACACAAGAATGCACCCCTCCAAAGATGAGTTGATTTTCATTGACTATATTTGTTTGCATTTGTTTTCAGTATAAATTTGAGTGGTTGAATTTTATATTGATAATTGATATAAAATTATATCAATTTTATCAATGTACCTCTCCAATGTACTTTACATCGACGATAGTTAGGTCATTCACCGGATCTACTCCTCACACAGGGTGTCTCACACTGACCTCACAACACATCCTACCATGCATTGGGAACATTTCTTGATGAAGCCAAAAATAGGCCCACCAATAAATGAGACACATAATCTGTTCACTCCCTCGTGTCTGATGAGGTGGTTCGGACTGAGTTCAGTC